ACTTTCCCTCCTATGATTGGAAGGTAGGAACCCTTTTTGAGTGAAGGATTGAAGATTCTCAAGGAGCCAAGAACAAGTGTCTAATCGTAGCCAAATATTTAGCTTCCTTTTCCTTTGAATTTCAGTGATACAAAGTTTCCTATTGAATATGGAAGGTGTAAAGATGAAGACTTTACCTTCTATTCGAAATTTCAGAGGTCTGGTTGTTGCCACCGGGTCCTTCCTATAGGCGTGGATCTGCAGATCAGTTTTTCCATGGGGCTCAAGGATCGAACAATTGACATCAGAATGGAGTCCCCTAAGTGTATCAGCATAGGTTTGAGCACCTGGGGAGAAGATCTTCGTTGCTTGGGTTCTTGTCACTCTTTCGATTGTGGTTTTAGATGGAACCGCGGTGGAGGTTGAAGCTATTTTACCATTGATCGGCTCTGAAATGAAGGTAGTAGGATTCTTGAAAGACGGTGGAGCTGAAGAAGAGTGATGATAAAAGGCGTGTTTTCCTATTGCCGGAATCTGGTCGGCGGGCATACCCTCTGCCCTCTGTCTAAAAAAGTCGGCCATTCATATATATATATATATATATTTTTATATATAAAAGGCGTGTTTTCCTAACGTTTCGACTACGCACATAGACGAACCCACTAGCTCGTAACTTCATACAATATCATGCACACAAGTACACATCAATAACATCATTAATATCATATAATTCATCAATCAAATTAAACATAATTACCAAACTTAACTCATAATCAACTTCTTTATCTTTAAGCTCATAACCTATCCTAGGCTAAGGCCAACTACTTTATTCTAGAGTCCTGATTCAACCACATCCATGGAAGAACCCGCTCAATACGACGTCATCCAACGTCGGCTGGGTGAGACCACCTACTCACATCCATGAGCAGATCTACGACCCCAGTGCGCACGCTCTACCTAACTGATCATGCGTGCACGCCGGCTCATCACATGACCAGTTATTCCTAACTGTATCCTTATTCTGTTTTCTCGGTCTACCTATGATCCATCTAGGTAGCCTATCCGTATTCAAGTTCATAATTCCATGTTTCCAAATTCATACAAGAATACAATATGTTAAATAACATCCATAGTCAACAAACAGCGGCCTAGTGTCGGGTGTAAACACCTTTCACTTACCGTCATGCAGCACACAATTAACAATAATACATTCTATACACTGCTATTTGGACACGTTTCCTAATCTTTGATAAACTTATTAGTGGGATTATAAATTTGTTTGAACAGAGCGTGTGTGTGCGTGCGGACAGAACAGAGCAAAACAAAGGAAAGAAATACAGAGCCTAATCTTCCAAACTCAATCCCCAATTCCAATTCGATTAAATCAAGAGTCAACAACCATACTCACAAATCCATCTTCGATTAAGGAATAACATATTAAAGGATATTAATCTCCAAATTAAATTCTAACAAGAGATAAACCACGTAATCAATCATACAAAACTACGAACGTGAATTTCAAATCTATATACATAATCTAGCGTTAGATGTGCAAGTTCTGACCTCGATTAATTGACGAATTAAACAAAACAATTCAACGGACAAGGAAGTCGAATTGGCAGACGGTGGCGGGGCTGTTTTCCGGCAAGGGCAAAGCAGCGACGTCGATCGGCTTCCCGGTGACGGCGAAGCAGCAACGCTGGAGCGGCGGCGGAACAAGGAGAGAGCGGCGGTGAACCGGCGTCATAGAGGCGGCAGAACTGCTCCTCCTCCGCTGCCCGGCTCTGTTATCGTGTTCCTGCTCTGTTATTTATTGTTTCTCTTTTTTTCTTCTTGCACGGCTGTTCTGTTCTTTCTTGCATTCTCCGTTTGTGCGTTTAGATATAAATTGGGGGTGGGATGGTTCTTGTTTCCGAATCAGGGTAGGTTAGGGTTTTGGTTATTATTATTATTATATTATTATAAAATCTTTATATTTATATATTGAACTGTAATGTCTATTTTACTCACCATGTTTTACACTTAAGTCCAGATTTGACAAACTCTATACCGTTGGTCACCATTCTTCGAGATCTATCTGAAAACCCAATTTTAATTTAAAACGGACAAGTTTACAAATAATTCATATTTTTGAGTAAATAATTTAATATTTATTTTTATTAAAATAGTGGCTAACTACTAAGCCAGTTTTTGGGTCGTTACACCACTCATATGCCTCCTCTCATTGTGACTTAATTTGTTGCATTGTTCGATTGAATTCATACACATCTGGGGTACTGGCTGCATGATACATCAAGCCCTTCAGTTTTTGCTATTGAACTTATTCTAAAAATTACTTCTCAAGTGGCGCAGGCAATATCTCCTGGTGACACGTTGTTCCATTAACTGGGGGATAGTATTGAAAGCTACATCAATGCCCCGTGTCTATCAGAAATGATGCACTGTAACGCCCCAAAATATACCCTAAAATTTATTGAATTAAATATTCAATTAAACAAAATTTGTTTTGATTAAAATAAATTGTTGTTGGGCTTTGGGCTGAAATAAAATATATATTGATATCCAATAAACATAATTGGGATAAATCTCATAGAGATAAATCCAACATGTTGATTTATTGTGTGATATTGATTGGGAACCTGAGTACAGACCCAAATTAAGAATAAATGAAGAAATTGTTTATAATGTGAACTTTGAAATGATTTATTGAAATAAATCATAGAAATAAATAATATGAATTAAATGTGAGAACCTTTTTGAATAAAGGTTAATTAAACCAATTTTGACTCTGTCAAAGTCAACCACCCAAAAATATGATGTCGGAAAAAGTATAACGAATAAATATAAAAATTATATCGTTAGATAGAGTTTAATTGTCTGATCGCAACGGTGCAATCGGATTTCAATTCGGAGAAAGTTGGACCAAAAAGTGTTCCCCGACTGGGACCAAATTAGTCCCAATCAGGGACTTGCGT